CATTCCTCGCATTCCTCCCTGATTGCTAACATATGGACCCTCACTCCAGAAACTTTGCTGTCTCCGGCACCTTCCTTTCGGCAAAGCCTGGGGAAGGGCTGCAGAGCAGCGCACGCACCGGCTCCGGTGCTGGGGACATCTGCAGGGCTTGGAGCACAACAACGTGGCACTTCTGGAAACAGATTCTGGGAATTTCCTTCTTGGAAAGTCACACCCTGAGTGTGGTTTGGAGGTTTGAGGGGGGGGGTTCATTCTCTGGCCTTCCATCAGATGCCTGCAAGTCACTTGATTAACAATAACTCGCCTACGGATGGGCAAGAATGGAAAATAAAGATCTGGGTTGTCTCTAGCAATGGCCATCTCAGACCTTAAAAGACTCCATCAAATCTCATTAATTTCTGCATTTTACATGGGGCACCAGCAACATCAGCCTTCTTAAAACAACGCTGGGCCACAGCTCCGTTCCTTTGCTTGCAGGACTTTCTTTTGGCTGGGGTTTGAGTAGTGTCATCATGGATGGGGGGACTGCTCATATAGTTGGGTGCAAACGGTCACCCAGCATCATCGCCCACATTTGGAGACCTAGAGTGGAGACCAGCCCCCATTCACAAACTGCTACTGGTTTTAGAAACAACTGGAGCCCTTTTGGGCAGAGAGCACGTAACTACTCCAGAGGGAGGAGAATCACCAGCAATGTCCTCTTACCTCCAACTGAGCCACAGTTGGGAGAAAGTTGGCCATTGGAGCACGTACACATGTTCGGCCGCGAACAAAATCCATCGCCACAAGAATTCCTGCAAATTGCTGGAGGAAGAAAAGGACACAGCGATTAGTGCGATGTGCTGGTCTGTGAACTTGCTCACAGATGTGCTTTTGGCTGCCCGAAAGGGTGTGGAATCATCTCTTTTAAGAATAATAACCTGGGGAAGGAGCTGGGGCACCTCTCGAGGATCCTGGCATGGGCAGAGTGGGAAGGACTCACTTGTTCCTCAGGAATTCCTGGGGACAACCTCCTTTTATCACCAACTGTGGCTGGTCCTGCCACCACATTGCTTTTTCAGCAGCAGAGGATGGGGAAAAACATGGCACATTTCACTAAATATTGGCCTTTTCCAACCCTAATGATTCTACGTGGGTTGGGTGGTGCTGGGTTGACGGTTGGACTTGACGATCCTTGAGGTCTTTGCCAACCTTCATGATTCTATGAAAAACATCGCTCAGCAGAGCCAAGTGAGGTTCACGCTGAGCCACGTTGTGCTTTTCCTTAAAATTTTTGCGTTTCCACACACAGTCTGGCATGGAGAAAACTGGCTGCTACTGAGATGCATCTCCTGCGGAACGAGCGGCTGAGCCGGAGTCAGCCAGAGATGCACCAGCAGGATGCCTCCATCTCAATCCCCATCCTTTCTTGCCTGGGACCCCCGCTAATCTCTTCCCTTTCCTGTGCCATGGGAGCCAAGAGCATAGCTGGCAGTATTGCTCCACCTGTGTAAGCACAGATTTTATGAGAGCCCCATGAAAAGTATCTCATCTCTGTGTGTTTTATAAATACAACGACAACACGCGCTCCCCCGAGGACCTCCAGCCCAGATGGCATGTTTTACAGTTCTGAGAAAAGTCAGCAGACAAGCCCCAATGTCGCTAACCCCGCATGCCACCGAGCCGCTCTTTGGCTGCGAGTTCCTTAACCCTTCGCTGCAGCCAGCGTCAAACTCCAGTTTCACATCCTCGGTGGGGCATCAGCCGTTGATGGGATGGGGAGGAGGATTTGGGGAGTTTGCTTCTCTCTTCTCATGGGGAAGGGAGAGGGTGCAGAACTCCATGTGTTGCCATCAGAAGTTGGATCCATTTGACTCATCGTGCCTCTTTGTTGCCCTTCTTCTAGAAGGGAAATGCCGTGCTCTGGCACTGGTTACTCATTACGTGCAAGGACACATCAACTGGCCCCATCACCCGTGAGACCATAGATAGTGTTTCCTCCGAGAGGAGAATATTTGCAGCTCTGGGCTCAGTTGGGCACATTTAA